GACAGTACATGACATGACAGTACTATTTGACACTATTTGTGTGAATAGTTTCCCGTGTAAACGCCGTTGTTTCGAGGCTAGACGAAGCACTGCAAGGCCATTTCAGGGAACCGATTGTCCTATGTGAGCGCATGTGCTCAGAGTGATTAAGTGTGGCAAATGGAGATTCTGGAGATATGGAACCCACTCAGCTGTTGAGTGTGAGGGATCTTTGGGCCGTTTGGGAGGTTCTGAGGACTGGGAAGAAAACCGTTAATCTCATTTGATCTCCAATGGCCATAGCGAGGTCTATCAGCACCATCTGTGAAACTCAAGGTGTTTGCAGCTAGAACCTCTTGCCGAAAACTATATATAGGATGTGGCACCCTAAAATCTGGAGAAGTGAGTCAAAGAATTTGGATATAGAATTCATTCCAGGCACACGGAGGATCGCCAGAGACTCGCAGGACTCGCAGCCGCAGCATGCTCGGAACCTGTGAGGTAATGTATTTGATCAAAGGAAGTTTAGTGTACGACTCATCATACACCACTCATCAGTTCATCACTCATCATACACCACTCATCATACACCATTCATCATACACCACTCATCATACACCACTCATCATACACCACTCATCAAACACCACTCATCATACACCACTCATCATACACCACTCATCATACACCACTCATCATACACCACTCATCATACACCACTCATCAATACACCACTCATCAATACACCACTCCTCAATACACCACTCCTCAATACACCACTCATCAATACACAACTAATCATACACCACTCATCATACACCACTCATCATACACCAGTCATCATACATCACTCATCATACATCACTCATCATACACCACTCATCATACACCACTCATCATACACCACTCATCATACGCCACTCATCATACACCACTCATCATACACCACTCATCACGCACCACTCATCATACACCACTGGCACAGCACTTTGTGAACCTCCATGTGCAGAGTTCGTGGCAGGCGCAGCACTTTGTGAACCTCCATGTGCAGATTTCGTGGCAGGCGCATTACTTTGTGAACCTCCATGTGTAGATTTCGTGGCAGGCGCAGCACTTTGTGAACCTCCATGCTTGTCCGAACCTCGACGGGGAAGCTCCGCAGAACGACGGGTGCGAGACGGTCTCGGGTCATTCTCGGATCATGCTCGGATCATGCTCGGAATCGTCCCTCCATTGTGATTAGAGGTTTCAGTTGTTTCTTGAAGTGCCGATTTCGTGGCAGGCGCAGCACTTTGTGAACCTCCATGCGCAGACTTCGTGGCAGGTGCAGCACTTTGTGAACCTCCGTGTGCAGATTTCGTGGCAGGCGCATTACTTTGTGAACCTCCATGTGTAGATTTCGTGGCAGGCACAGCACTTTGTGAACCTCCATGCTTCTCCGAACCTCGAGGGGGAAGCTCCGCGGAACGACGGGTGCGAGACGGTCTCGCGTCATTCTCGGATCATGCTCGGAATCGTCCCTCCATTGCGATTAGAGGTTTCAGTTGTTTCTTGAAGTGCAGATTTCGTGGCAGGCGCAGCACTTTGTGAACCTCCATGCGCAGATTTCGTGGCAGGCACAGCGCTTTGTGAACCTCCATGCGCAGATTTCGTGGCAGGCACAGCACTGTGTGAACCTCCATGTGCAGATTTCGTGGCAGGCACAGCACTGTGTGCACCTCCATGTGCAGATTTCGCGGCAGGCGCAGCACTTTGTGAACCTCCATGTGCAGATTTCGTGGCAGGCACAGCGCTTTGTGAACCTCCATGTGCAGATTTCGTGGCAGGCACAGCATCTGTGGAGCTGGAAGCTGAGAACTGGCGACTTTGTAGTGCAACTTTAGTACGCGGGGTATCTGCCGAGCTGGAAGCTGAGAACTGGCGACTTTGTAGTACAACTTTAGTACGCGGAGCAATCTGTGGAGCTGGAAGCTGAGAACTGGCGACTTTGTAGTACAACTTTAGTACGCGGAGCAACCTGGGGAGCTGGAAGCTGAGAACTGGCGACTTTGTAGTACGACTTTAGTACGCGGAGTATCTGGGGAGCTGGAAGATGAGGACTGGCGACTTTGTAGTACAACTTTAGTACGCGGAGTATCTGGGGAGCTGGAAGATGAGAACTGGCGACTTTGCAGTGCTACTTTAGTACGCGGAGCAATCTGTGGAGCTGGAAGCTGAGAGCTGGCGACTTGTAGTGCAACTTTAGTACGCGGAGTATCTGGGGAGCTGGAAGATGAGAACTGGCGACTTTGTAGTACAACTTTTTACGCGGAGTATCTGGGGAGCTGGAAGATGAGAACCGGCGACTTTGTAGTACAACTTTAGTACGCGGAGCAATCTGGGGAGCTGGAAGCTGAGAACTGGCGACTTTGTAGTACAACTTTAGTACGCGGAGTATCTGTGGAGCTGGAAGCTGAGAACTGGCGACTTTGTAGTGCAACTCTAGTACGCGGAGCAAGCCGTGGAGCTGGAAGCTGAGAACTGGCGACTTGTAGTACAACTTTAGTACGCGGCTGAGTCATCTCTATTCTGTATTTTGCAAAAATGCATGAACAACGTTTTTTCCTGCGAGACAGTTGACGGTGGTTGCTTCGCTTTCGCTCCAATGGTCGGTTCCAACTTGTTTTGTCAAAGAACATCGCAGCTCGGCGAATCAGCCTGCCACATGCCCATTTCCTATAGGTTTATTCTTTTGGAAACTTCCGCCGCCGGCTTGCCCGGGAACTACTTGTAAGAACACACTACATTGTGGCTTTGGTCATTAACAACCAGGGTAGAGAGTTGCACTTGCCTTCTGGATTCAAAGCGCGCACAGACTAAGGCACGCGGAAAGAAGCTTAGAACTGTGAGAAGAAAAATGCAGGCTTGTGTGCAGGCTCGGCTGTAAGTTTGCACTTTTTAAATGCAGAAGAATCCCAAGTCTACCAAAGGTCAGAGCCTTTGACTATTGCAGCTGCGCTTGAGCTCGTGTGCCAGTGGCTCAAGATCCTCTTCAGAAGAAGACGCCGTGACCTCTCAGCGGACATTTGTTTGGTGCATCTGCCTTGCTTAAGATGCTTCTTACTGATGATTTGCTCCATGTGTCAGCCGGTGTTGCCAAGCAGATGCTCAAAGAATTAGAAAGGATGTCTCGAAACAGGGTATCTTACAGACGTACAGTAATATTTGTTGGCTGGAGACTGAAGACCTTTACCGCCGTCACAGAGTCACAGACATTCCAACGGCTACGTTGAACCAAGAAGCTAGTATCGATGGGGCCCCAAGTCTTTCTGTGCCGAAACAGGTGCTTCTGAAGCAGCTCGGTGAATGGGTGCGGATTCGTGGAGCCTTGAAACAATTCATCAACAATGTCAAGGCGGGTAGGCCTGTGCTGGGAGTAGAACAAAAGGCAGTTGTGTGTTTCCCCACACTCAAGCTTCAGAAGCCGAGCATAACTTGGCAATGAATCACGGGCTGTCAGCTGGTTGCACAGCATGCCATTGAGTTTCAGAGTTTGGCTGCCGAGAAACAAAACCGAATGGTATCGCTCACGGCGCCTTGCTCGTGCTACCTTGTCATAGGTTTTGGTAACTGGGTCTTTGCGTTCTTGGGTGCAGCCACGAACACATTAATTAAATCGCAAGTGGTTGTGCGTTCTTGACTGATTTGCAGAATCGTATTATAAGATGGAGTGGTTGCACGTTATTGTGCGGATCTTCGTGAAATTTCGTTGTGATAGCGACAAATGCATGTTTGTTTTTTTCTTATCTTTGTTATTGGACCAGTATTCTGATTCTGATTTGACTTTCTACACTCACTTGGCAGATTATCCAGCGCACTATACGGGAATACCTTGCATTGAAGCGGCGGCGGTGTCGGGATGACCTGGTTTGGAAAGAGCTTTTGGATGTCCGGTGTCCACTCAGTTTTTATGACACTGGCTTGCATTGCCTGGAGACGGAAGTGCTTCACAAGTAGGGCTGGCCAAATAGTTGCAATGCACTGGAACTGTTTTCGTTCCCAAGACGATGATTTGATCGGGGAGGTTCGAGTTTGTTCTTAGATAGAATCTCGCGGTCTTGAAAAGATAGATCCTCTTTGAGAACATGTTGCTTCTAGATCTTCTAGAATCTCGAAGCTAAGATGCTCGCGAGCAAGAGTTGAGGCCACATCATCGAGAGGGAATGGTGTCGCATCGAGGACGGCCCTCACTCATGCTGTTTGTTTGTTTGCTTGTGCAGTCCGAGATTTGGGTGCACTTGTTCCAGTCAAGCAAATCGAGGCCCTGTCAGCGATTTGTCAGAAACATGTTTGTGGAACATGCCAAGATGACCTAGAAAAACCTTGGTGGATGAACCGACACCCATTCGCAAAGTGTGGTTTGGTGATTTTCCAGGCATACCCAAGTCTCAGCTGGAACTGGACCTCAAAAGATATGTTGACTTCCACATCCCTCCTGCAAATTCTTTGAATTCTTAATCTTTGTGCAGTTTTGTGCCTCCTTTCCCCCTCTCTCCTTCCCTGTGAAGCAACTTGGTCTAAGGGAATCCGGGCATGGAATCCCATGCATCGTTTTCAGGACTTGCACCTCTCAACCTTCGCACGGGCTCGAGCAGCAACTGCCATGCAGGCAGCGGATGTCCGGCGTGCTAAGCTATTAGGAAATCTTGTCAAGTGCATGTCCACAGACGATTGAGCACATGCCAGGAGACAGACACTGGGTATGCCTGCCGACCTTACAGCAATACGAGACTGGTTGCTCACCGGGCTGTCAATGGGTGTGGCGGTTCCATATAGTCCACTAGAAACATGGACCACATTGCTAGACGGAAAATGGTCAGATGCTTAGTGCGCCAGGAAAGTCAAAACGTTTGCTGCTCAGAATACTTGGAAGTCATGTACTGCAACGGCCAAGCATCACTGCCACTGCTTTGGAGTTTGGCTGAGTTTGGCATTTGAAGACTCTCGGGAGGCTCTTAAATCATGTTGAATCCAAGTTTTGCAGCTGATGATGACTCGAGGGTTGAAGAAACCCGAGCAAAGCTCACAATTAGCCCGGCTTTCGGAGCAGATCAGCCATGGGTGCGGCAGCCAGCATCAAACCTAAGGAGTCTAAGGATTTGGATGAGATGCGAAGTTACTTGAAGCTGCCACCTCAAAGGAGCTATCGGGTCGTTTCCCTTGAAGATGAGGTCGTTCGAGAAGTGGCGGCACGGATCGCTGAAAAAAAGCAACGAAGCTATCGAGTTACCTCTCTTGATTTGGAGGTACTTGGGACCCAGTTTCAGCTTGAGATTGAGTCTGATAGTAACAGCCCATGCAGCCCGAAAGTGAGCATGTCGCCATCTCAGTGGTCTACGACATCTGACTTCCCAGACACAACATGTCAATCGTGATCACTTCGAGCCTGGCGATCCTGGCCAGACATCTACAATACATCTCCGACGTCATCCAGCGCTGCACTGAAATGGTGTCTTCTTTAGATTTTCAGCACCGCAGGATCACAGTTGAATAGATAGAAGCCAGTCAGCCCATGTACTTTGTTCATCTCGTTGCCGACTTGTGCAGAGCTAAAGTCAGTTGTCCAGTGATTCGAGCGGATGCTTTTTGAGTAATTTTCAATGCTGGAATTTCCTAAAGCATTCCTTCCCTTCGCCTGCAAGCTCCGTCCCAACGTCTGGGGGAGCAGTGGCTTTGCATCCCCAAACAGAGTGGAATGTTCCTCCGACGTTCCACACTGGAGCAGTGTCGAAAACCTCCAAAGCAGTGCCTTTGGCAATTGAAGATATATAAAGTTAACTACAAGGAACTGTTCCTTCTCAAAGCAGTGTGAAAGCAGCAGTTTGTGATCAAAACCTGATAACCAAACGGTGGTGTTCAACACAGCTCACTTAGGGTATTTCAACAATGCCAAATAATATGCTCGATGTAGAACACAGAAGAGCGATAGATATTGGCCGGTTGTGAAAAAGTTCAGACTGCCTCTTCTGCCGATTTTGCAACCGTGTGCATACCTTCCGTTCAACTAGTCTGTATCCCAACCATGTCCACAGGTTCACTTAATTCCGTTGCCGGTTTCTCTATATATTCGTGACTATTCGTGTCAATCGGTGACAGGTGTCCCCGGATAAGTGCATGGATTCATGAATCATGTCCTTGATGCGTTTCTAGGAAACGGCGGGTCTTGCAAGCAGCCCTGGAGGCAGAGTTGACTTGTTGTTATCTCTTCACACAACCATTGAATGCAGAAAGCAGAAAGGCCAGTTTACCGCAGACATGGACTGTACTTGACTGCATCCAGCGTGCAGGCCACCGTCAGCAGCAAATGGAAGCTCCTGGTGGATTTCACGAGTTATCGCATTCCGGTGGCTGAGCGAAGGGCCATCATATCAACGTGCGCAGAGTCTTTGTAGAAGCCAAGTTCTGATTCCAAGCTGCGCAAGTATTGAATGTGTTCATTGTGAGAATCTGATTGTGCAAGCGAGGTCCAGCTAGGTCCATTCAGTGAAACGAGTTACAGGTGAAATGAGTTGACTGGTCCAGAAGCTGCCCCAATGCGGAGGTACTACAAGAAAGCTATTAAGCGTCACATGTACATCGGCAAGACCTTTCTCCAATTGGCCGGGATCAGATAGACTTTCAAATCGCAGAGTCTTTTCCAGCACAGCACATGTCATTGAAAAGGGATCCGGAGACCAAGGTGCTGGATGCTTTGAGAGCTGGTCGTGAGTTGGATAACTTTCTCAATCAATTTCACTATGAGAATGATAGAAAGAGTGCTGTTGAGCCTCGGCACTCTATCTTGGAGGTGGTTGGCTTTATGGAGCAGAGTTGGCAAAGTGAACCTGTATCAGTAATTCAGTGGATTATTGAAATTTCATGGATATAAATATATATATATATTACAAGATGGACTTGTCAGTCCTGTTGCTGAGGAAAGCTTTCAGATCAAAAAGGAGGATTTGATCACAGACCATCGGCAGGCTCATTCTGATTAGTTCTAAAATCCAAAAGCATTTGCAAAAGCCACTCCGTGGACCATCCGTACTTGTTGCGCAGTAGTATCAGATCCACTCGCTGACTACTTTTCCTTTTTTTCAAGTGAAAGGCATCAGTTGGATGTCATCAGACACTTCACAACCCAGATTGATGAGGACTCCAGCGAAGCCCTCTTTTGGCAAATGACAGAGGCCCAAATTGTGTCGTCAAGTTTATCAAAGCCGAGCATCCAGCACTCCATGTTTGTGTGAACGCAGCCGATCAGGTCAACTTATCCAGATCCCACTGGCATGTACGGGATATACCAGTTCCATTTCTTGCTAGGTCAGATGAAAGGGCAACAGAATAAAACAGAGAAGCACGTTGACAAACGTGTCCACATGTTTGCAATCCTCCGCTACATGATGTATTGCACGATTCCTGCAAGTGCTAATATTCCTTTGAACATTTGAAGATCCTTTTGCATTCTTCTGCAGCAATGGCTGCCCGGCTCCATTTCGTGGCTTGGACGGCTTGGACGTGACACTAAGTGCGAAACACTCGTGATCCTTTGATTGTCCTGATCTTTAAATCTTTAGACTATACGGTGTTTGTGCGGAGTCAGAGGGCGATGTGTTTGTCCGGTGTAACTCCTTGGGATTCCATCCAGGGCTGACTCACTTGACAAGGTAAGACACTGACTGGCTAAATCACTTGGAGCGTTGTAGAGCACTAGCTGGTCAATTCGCATCATTTACGAGCACTGTCTAAAAAACTACTTGAAGAACAACCAGATGCCAGAGCCATCAGCTCCATCATCAATACCACCGGGAAGACTACCTCAGATTAAGGTAACTGCCTAGAAAATCGCTTAGTATGAGTATTAATTGGTTCAGTTTAGGTCCATCAAACGGTGAATGGACCCTGCACAGGCAGCGGAGAGACTTTTGCCTCAGCTGCTCCATAGCAGATCGTTCGGCTGGTGGTCTGGAGGTGTTTGAGCCAGAAGAGAGCGCCCGCAGATTTGCTATAGCAAGGAGAGCTGTTGAAACCATGGATGAACGGCACGATTGTGACATTGAGGTTCTCTTGCAATGTGCATGTAACTACATGTCTGTGTGTTTTGCAGATATGTATAGTTGATATTAATTTTTAAGTTTCCAATACATTCGTATGCATACGCTGAGCTATTACTTTTCATCTCCCGTTCCCAGAAGTTTGGACATGTCATCGAGGTCCGAAGAGAAGAGGGGAGAAGAAGCGTCCAAAGTTCATTCGTCGCTTCGCTGCAGGCGTCCAAGAAACCGCCAAGCTACAGTATGTTCATGTATGTTCATATTGTTTAGCTCGATTCCCTTTATTGCAATTCCTGGGAATTAGTGAAGGGAAGGATGTTTACACTCATTCCCTCAGGCAACAGGAAAACAACCACAGGGGAAACAAAAAGGAAAGGAATAGGAGAGAAGGAGGCAAGGAAGCAGAAAACTAAAAGCAGGCAAGCCATTTGTGAGTAGACCATGGCTGGTGGCCCTTAAGGCCCGCACGTCCTATGCGCTCCTGTCACCGCCTCTCCTGGTGTCAGGGTGCATGCCGGGTGAGCACAATAGAACCCACATCCACACCATTTGTATGTGTCCACGAGATTCGACTTCTACTGTATACCATTGTCATTCGGGAAAGACAATTTTCAAGGAAAGAGCGAAAACAAAGGGAAAAGGAAGGACGAACGTGCGAATCGCATAGAAACTTGACCCTAAGCCGATGAAAGCTGCACGGGGTATTCTAGGGACTCCAATAATACAATTTTGGTATATGCACTCACAAAGCTCCAGGATGTTTGAGTCCCATGATGCAGAGAATCACAAGCAAGTTACAAAGAATGAACACATCAGCCGAATGACAGAGTGTCGTTGCATGCGTCATGCTATCCTCACTTCTCAGCCGGCCAAGGAGTGGGCGAGTCGCTGTACCGAGCGATCCGGATGCATTGAGTGGATACTGAAAGAATTAGCTTGAGCTAACCTGCTAGATGCCCTGTGAGTATCAGAAGTTGTCATGTTTGTCGACTTCTCAGCTTGCACCATTGGACCAATTGGCGGAAGTGGAGCTTGTCAGGTGCAAAACTACCGCCTGGCATACCGGCGAATCTTTGGAAAAGATATTCCACTACAAGAACAGCCCCATGGTGCACTAAAAATGATGCAGTCAGCGGTACAGAGCCTCGCAGAGTTGGTAACATCAGGCTACTTTGACATGAGGTTCTTTGATGCGTATTTGACTTGATGTTCCAACTGCTTCAAGAGGGAATGAGCAGAATCAATTCCTGGCATTCATGGCGCGAATCAAAGACTTAGGTATGACTTTGCATATCGGCAGCAACAAGCTGTTGAAACAAACAAAGCTCGACACAAGACCAAGGCTGGAGTTGAAACGGGTCGATTACATAATATGAATACAGTATCAATTTCTAATATACAGAGACTCACGGAAATTCATACAAAGCACACAGTACAGTACATAACGCTCAACACAATATATATATATATACTATACTTTTATGTTTGGAATTGTGGCGGCATTCATAGCCGTCTTTCAATGCGCTGTCGGACCGAAGGTGTGCCTGAGTGTCCTCATAGGTCCTCCGATGATGTATTTACTTTTAGTTGAACTTGACAGACTTAAAGCTCTTGAGTTACGTGGCTTTGCAGGCTTCATCCAGTCCGCCCTTCTCTCGGCGCGTAGATGCCATTATCTACCCATACGAGCGAAAGAAGTGAGCATAAAAAGTGCCCACTGTTGCTGCTTTCACTTTGTTGTCTCAGAGCGATTCGACACTGGCGTGTTGGCACAATGTGAGACTGCATACACGTCCCATATTGGAACAAATGTCTTACAGGCGACCATCGTGAAGCTAATAGCCTGCTGTGCACAAGTACTGGCATGGTGCTGAGATGCGAGCGACGAAGCGACCAACGCGGCTCCAACGCAATGTGTTTTCCCGAAAGCCATGGCATCATGAGTGATTCCAAAATGAAGCGAGCGGAGCAGCGGAGCGGTTTTCTAAGGCCAAACTGGACGTCTACAAGGCTGGCTGAACTTGGACTTTCGGTCCGAAGAGTCAAGGATGTCGAACGTTGACATTAGTAGCGATGGCCTCCACCCTAGTAGCGATGGCCTCCAACCTAAGAGCGATGGCCTCCAAACTAATGGCGATGGCCTCCACAAATTAGGGTTCTTTAAACTGTTGACTATATAAATATATAGAAATTCCATGAAATTCCTGTATCGCCATTGAGCATTTAATTGCGTGTGTGAGGATGGGTATGAGTCTGGGCATGGGAGTCACATGCAATTCAATTGAACACACAGGGGCATGGAGACTTGACTTGCTTTTGTGCCAACAATGCTACAGATGTCAGTTGGAATGAAATTTGGGACGCCAACTCTTGTACCATATCTCAAAAGGCAGGCTGCGTTTGGTTTAATGTCGGACGGACCCTTTGTATTACATTCAAAAACGATCAAAAAACCCAGGGTCCCACCCAGGGTCCCACCCAGGGTCCCAGGCCTCCTTTGCACGCACAATAGCTTTTGGATGTATTTTGCTCACAATGTGTGTTGTCAGGATCATCCTGCCAATCAAGCAATTCCAGATGACAAGAGGACCAAGTCACAGCTTTGTGAACCATTTTTTGCAACATCACACCAAGTATTGCTGGTGTGAGAGTACTTGATGGTGTTTGAACTCCCATCATACTTGTGTTTGAGCCAGGAGCGCTTGGGAGGACTACGTGATTGG